TCTGAGCTAACCTTTTCCCTTTTGTTTACTGAATAAAGGAGAAGCGGGTGGGGGGGGGAGGAAGAAACATTCATGTAGCTTCAAAGCTTTTTTCACTGTGAAAGTCAAAGACATTCCATTTCCATTCCTGAATTATATGCTACCCTGTCAAGATCAGGTCTCGCAATCTCCTGACCATAACAGAGCCATCAGGTCATGGTGCTAAAATCCTTGGGGTTGTTGTTTATTTGGAGATTCTGCATGAAACCTGGATACTGTGTAAATTGGCTGCCCTTGGGAAATCTTGCTGTCATTATTAAGTTGCTTCTGAGATTTGGGTATTATCTTACATGATATGTATGCTTTTTATGTTATGTCTTTAAATCTGTTTGCTTGAGCTAATAATCAAGCTTAAAATTCCTTTATTTATTTGAGTATTCATTGTCTCTTTCTTTGATTTGATTTTATTACTTTATTCTCTTATTTATTTATTACATTATTTATTTGGTCAAGTGTGGTTAGACACACAGGGAATTTGTCTCTAGTACAGTGAGTGCTTCTGTACTGGAGACAAATTCCTTGTGTGTCTAATCACACTTGGCTAAATAAATATAGTATAAGTCTCTGGATCCAAAATAACAATTGCCTGGGCACCTGATCACTGCCCTGACATTTGACAAAACAGTATCTCACTAGGATAAGGTTGTTAGAAGTAAAGTCTTCATCCTGGTTCATCCAAGCCGGGAATAAATAAGCAACATGGCGACTGCTTTGGGAAGATGGTTACAGTTTATTGAAGAAGCAGAAAGATGGTTCTTGCAAGAAAGAGCAGAGGAGAGAGGGGGAGAGAACACATGGGCAAGCTTTTTATACCCTCTCTAGCTTTTTGTTTGGAATAGTTTCCTTTTCCTGTGGCATGAACTTTGAACTGACTCTGAGTGCTTTTCTAGACCTTAGTATCTGTGGTTTAGTCCTATTATGTCCCAAAAGTCATCTCCTACTTCCCTGGGGCTGGGCTAATGACTCTTAAGAGTTTCTTTGTCTTCTTGAGCTGCCTGGCTCCAACCTTCCTGATGGTTTTACATCTGCATTTGTATAGGGCTGGCTCTTGCTTGGGGCAGAGATAGATTTGGGGCCAGGTTTGGTTTCTGCTTTTCAAAAAATGCTTTTCAAAATCCTTTTGGTGAAAAATATATTTTCCTGCCCTTTTAATATTTCCTTCTTTGGGCTAACTTCCCTCAAGGTGGTGCAACAAAAGGTATATCTATAGAGATGATTGCAGCACTTAAGTGAGCAAGGAGGAGATTGTAGGAGTATTCACCATAGAAATACAGCATACAAAAGACACACACGTTCAGCTTCAGGATGATGGTCACTAGTTATTCCTAGATTTAACAGATAAGTGGAATTTTTCAGCACCAAGGACAGGGAATGAATATTTCCAGTATGCAAATAGGAACATGGAATACTTACTATTTATTAAAATAAATGAAGGAAGGAAGGAAGGAAGGAAGGAAGTTTTCTTTAGAGAGAAGTCGTTGAGTTACTTGATAAACTTGTAGAATGTGTTTTTATGAAGCATTCAACTTAGTTACTGAGTTAATCACTTTCTGGTGTTCGGAATCTGTCAGAGCATAAATAAAAAAAATCTACAATGTTAGAACACCATAGACCAGTGATTCTCAACTTTTTCTTCATTGTGGATCCCTTTTGTGCCATGGACCATGACCGCGGACCACCAAGACTTAACTCAAGATTTAAATCATAACATTTTTTTCAAGCCTTTGCGGACCCCTGTGATGAAATCATGGCCCTCCAGTGGTCCGTGAACCACTTGTAGAGAAACACTGCTATAGACCACATAGAAATCTAACCAAGGTTAATATAAAGCCAGTTTAGCATGTTTCACAAATGCATCTATTAATAACATGTTATATTTGAACCTCAGTCTAAGTAATCCATTTTGTATTCCAACTTATCACTCCATCACTCTAAGAAGTAAAGCAAAAGAAATTTCTCCCCATTTATATGCAGATCTTTAAAGCCTTGTCACGCAGTTTTGGTCAAAAAGATATCCTAGAACTTTGAATGATTGATCATATCAGATAAGCAACCTTTTTCTGAATGCCCAGTGGTGTGGATAATGGAGAAGGCTGAAGTAATGGAGGGAAACATCAAGAAAGGGCTTAGAAATTGACTCGGTTTTGAGAACATGGGTTTAACTAATGTTAAACTGCCCAATTTGGTGGGTAGTAGCTTGCATTATACATGACGCTTGGTGAGTCTGAAAGCCTGCGCAGACCTTTGCCAAATGTATATTTCTCTTGAAATGTCACAATTGTCTAAACATGTTTAGTCAAGCCAGACTCTGTATAAAGAAGAGATAAGATGCCTCAAGAAGAAGGTTGTTTTTTTTTAACTTTTCTGTCTCTTTCAGCTAGCAAAACATAAAGCAATCAAACCTCCAGGGTAGAGTCCAAGTTCTCAGAAGCAAGTAGGCACATTATGAGATGCCAGGCATGACAAATCAATCCTGTTAAATTTTCAAGCAGCATTAATATTACTTTTAAACCCCAAAGCTTTCATTTCTACACTTCACAGCAAAGTAAAGAGCTTTCTGGCAAGTAAAGAATGAATTAATCATCATTTTGACATTAATCATCCCCTAAATTCAGGTCTCAAGTAAATGTGAATATAAGGAGTTTAGCATCTGACAGCTGACTTTTGTCAGGAGACTTTCAGAAATGTGTTCCTCAAATACAGGTGCTTATTACATAGGGACGATGTTCTTACTTTGGGAAGAACAATAAGCAGCCTGTCCAGCAGAATATATTCCCCTAAGCACTGGGAGTAGATTGGATAATTGCACATTAGAAGCTTGACTTGGTGCCAGTTCGCTGTTGTTTTTAATGGTTTGATCGGTTTAGTTTTATAGTTTTAATGTGATTTTACATGTTTTAACTTTTGATGGGGAGCCATCTAAAGTAGGTTGGAAGATGGGTGGTTGAGTAAATGTTTTAAATAAGTAAATAAAGTAACATTCTCCAGCCACAATCCAGCTCAATTACTGGTATTCCTTCTCTTCTTTCTGACTGCAGTAAGTTATGAAAATATGCTGATGTCACATAGTAGATATGGAAGTTAAAGTGGAGAATTCAGTTGAATATTTACACACACACACACACAAAAGACATCAAGAGAGAGTGGGGTTTGAGCATTAGAGCAGTAAAAGCATCGATCTACTACATAACTGCAATTAAAAGGTCAGATTCCACACCAAGATCATTAGGAAATGACTCCAAGATAAAAATGTTAATGTTATAATATTATATGCCCCAGAAGTATAAATCCAGAATGTTGGTTCAGATCCAGTCACTGTTTTTCCTTTTTCTTTTAAAGATATTGCCAAGCTAAGAAAGCTTCAGAAAGCAGCCCCCCAGAACATTGTTTCATCATGAAGAAATTAGGAGTTTAATACCTATTTTTTAGTTTGAAAAGAAGTGAAATTTCACACATGTGGTAAACAGGCATGCAGCTATCCATAATGTGGAAAAGAAGGAGAGAAAATGTAACCCATTAAAAGCAAACTCAAAAGGAAATTTAATCAAATTCTTAATGTTGAGCATTTCAACAGGATCATATAAACAAACATGCTTGATAACTAAAATATATATTATAGCTGGAGAATATCTTAATCTTAAAGTTTATTTGTGAGTAAAATCAAGGAGATGAGTGCAAATATAAAATTTTAATGAGAGAAAACAACAAAGCCTCAGTAATTTTAGCTAGCTGTTCGAAGAATTTTATACGCATTAATATGTGTATTAGGTTGGCTGTGTAGGTGGATAAAAATTCTGGGCTGAATTGACTCCATTAGTTTTATTCAGCATGCATTTATGATTGCTAAAAACCAACAAATATATATTGGTTTTGATGGTCTTCTTTCTGGCTGAATTTAATATTAATTTTATCCATGCTAAGCTCCTTTTGCAAAATTTTTGCCCCCAGGAAAGGATCTCTGCATCATCATCATCTGTAGCTGGTTCACAACTATCAATTACAATCAAAATGTCCTGTTTTCCCCATTATGTTTATCCTTTTGGGTATGTTTCAGTCTGCTCACATGAATAAAAGCTATATTGAAGAAGAGAGAAGGGGGGAGGAGGAGGAGGAGGAGGAGGAGGAGGAGGAAGAGGAGGAGGACTTTCCAACAGGGCTGCTACAGAGAAGGCTGAGGAACACTAATTGTATAATGTACTCACTTAAGATGCACTGAGTATTTGTAATCCTAGGCCCTAGGATACATTACCTGCCTTACCTCTCATAATTTGCAAAGCTCTCAAGACTACATTATTCCATCATGCTTGACTAATTGTTGGAAATCCCTGTGTTGTTGCATTACTAATTTTAGTTTTTATTTTATTGTTAGCTTTTTTTTTCACTAGGATTTTTTTTAACTTTATTTTTCACTCAGAGTCTGTCTTGATTGGTGTAGACTACAAACATCGTAAATAAGTACATAAATAAATAGCCAATAAACACAATGCTTAATTCAAAAGCCCAGTGCTAAATATTGACCTGTTTATACAGTATATAAAAAACCCTATATATTACAAACTGAACCACAAATATACTTCTGGCTTTTGTAGTTCTGTTTGAACATACGTCATCTCTGCCTTTCAAAATTTTGGATTATTAGTACAGATTGTTTTCTCCTTGAGATGAAAGAATATAGTTAATGGATTCAACAAGTGACATGCACACATGAAAATGGATGCCATTACAACAATGTCTTGTTTGTTTATTTGTTTTTTAAAAATAAAAATATAGTTCATTGTTTCTGAAACAGTGTGTTGAAATGAGTAAACTGGATCATTGAAATGAAGTCTAATCACCAACACAATCTTTAAAAGAATTTGAAATCCTTTAAACCATAGACAAAAGCCAATAAAGCTTCTAAGGAAGGAAATCAATATTTCTTAAGTCTTAAAGGTTTCTCTCCCTCTCTCTCACTTACACAGACAGCAAGCTTTCTTTCTGAAGCTGTTTTCCCTGTGTCTTCGACAATATCCACAAAGCTGGATTCTTCCTTTCGCCTGCACGAATCCATCACTAAGGTAAAGGCAATTAAGATGTCTCATCTCACAGTGATATAAGCATTTCTTTCATGTGAACCAATCATGAATGAATAATTCACTGTTTTCAGAGGTGTTTGAAAGCATTTATTGATGAGCCTCTACTGACAGTTTGATTGATGATTTAAATGCAGCCACAGTATTATTCTGTGCATAGTTCTTTCAAAAGAGAGTCCCACTGAACTCGTGGGGCTAACCCCCAAGAAGGTAAGTGTAAGATTCGAGGCTTAAGTCTTGTGTTTCAGGATTCAGAATAAGGAGATTTCCAAATTCACTCATTCCTTGGAAGAGCAGTTGTAAGATTGTTTCTAACACACTAGGTCAGTACCAAATATCTGCTGCATTTAATATCCCAAGATATGTTGTGCTTTTCATGTGATCAGGAAAAGATTCTACACAGCTCTTTTTTGTCCAGATGAAAAAATATTTGTCTTTTATGAACTAGGAGAGATCTCAGGTAGAAGAGAAAATATGTATGTGCTGAAGTGGAGAAAGGTGATACACTAAGGTGATCTTCATTCAGTCTCAGGTTTAAAATTGGAAATTAAGAATACAGTTATCCAGTCTTGTAAAATAAATGGATTCAAGTCTTAAGAAATATATGTTTCTTGTGCTTTAAAAATGGATAATGCTTACCTGTGTTTAATGCATCTCTCAAAGAATGTTTTTCAAACATCTGCATATGAACTTTTTGGTGTTAGGATTTTTTTTTAAACTCCTGTGATTTAGTCCTGTCCAACTGTAGCTCCATTTTGGAGTCAAGTTATAGCATTTGTTTAAGCAAATTTGGAAAGAACTGTAATAATGGATAACATAATTGCAATGTTAAATTATATTCCCCAAATGGGAAATTCGCTCTTTTTTTTTCTTGCTTTATCAAGTCTGTAGCTCAGCAAAGGATAATCCTAATAAATGAAAAGAAATATATCTTCCTGACATTAAAAAAATAGATTTAAGATGTTTTTTAAATCCTTTATGAAAAATCTTTACATTCCAAAAATGTAGTATTAAGTTTCTGAATAGTCTACATTTAATTATGTTTAAGGATTGAATTAATCCTTTATCCTTAACAAATTGATATGACATGAATTGTTTGTGTAATGTTACATATAAATATAATATTATGTATTATTTTTTTCTCTTTTTTAATGGTTAGTTTATTTTAATCGCTACATTGTAGTTAGGATTTTTCACATTGTGTAATCTCCACATGGACCAGCATCTTCTACAGTCTCTGCTTAGAAAGCGAGGCAGGGACTTATATTTTTGATTCTTCCTTCACCACCATCTCCCGCACTAACTCCTGCATTGTCTGCCTTGTGTAAACTTGCCCAGGAGCACAAACATCCATAGCATGAGAAAAGGGACAACACACATTTGGAAGACTGTTTTTTTATTAATAGTGTTTTGGCAGGCAGATTTCTCTGTCGATTATTGGGATAATCAGGAAGGAGAGAAAGAAAATGAAATGAAAGAAAATGAACAGAAAAAAGAGCTTATATATGAAACCCAAAGATGCCTATGCTTATACTGTAATTAACAGCTAGAAGAAGCATATGAGTTCCAAGCTGTTAGACATGTCTAAGTGCAAAGAGGAAAATAACAGGAGAGTGAAAGAAATAGGATAAGTTAAACTGAGGGAAATGAAAGGACCAGAGAAAAATCAAGAAAGAAGCAATCTGAAAGAAAATGATGATGCGAAAACCTCTACAAAAGAAAGTATCATAAACACTGAATTAATGGGGACTTCTGAGGAAAATTGCCAAGAAAGACAAGGGTTGCATCCAAGCCTTGAACATCCTTTTATATCCAACTTATGCCAGCAAAGGTGTTGTCTCCTTGTGTAATGGAATATTGTCTGAATTCCTAGGAGGGAAGGAGAAGCAAGAGACAACATACTATAGATTGTGAGAGAGAAAGAGAGTGAAGACAGCTCCTCCCTAATAGTTCCCAGAGTATATGCTTTATGGAGGTGGTAGTTTGATTTAGGTTTGGCAAGACTCTGTCTATAGATGGGGAATAATAAGGAAAGATTCTTCTACTTATCACAACATGTCTTTCTTGGTTTTTGGAGTCTGATATCCTCCCCCAGTACTGAAGATCCCTCATATGGTCCATTCATTTCCTCTGGATCTAGATGGGAAATTTACATCTAAGTTCAAGTGCCCCTTAAAATTTGGTCCTTGAAACTAAAGATGTGCATCTTGTAGTGCTGCCCTCATTTATTAAACAGGAAATAAGAGTTTTTATCTTTATCTATTAAATTTATGCACTGAGACAGAACAACTCTTGCCCACTTAATAGCATCACAGTTGTTTATTTATCTAAAGCAGTAGTGGGATTCAGCCAGTTCGTACCAGTTCAGCATAACTGATACCTAACTTTTTGTTGAGTTTGGCTAATCGGTTACGATAAATCTGTGAGGTGTGTCACACTAGTGACACCACTGCCACAAAGAGCATCACACCGGTGATGACGTCAATGCACATCGTGCCGATGATGACGTGAATGTGGTACGCGTTGCACAGGTGATGCCGACAGTGCAGTGATGCCGAATATGTGAGGCGTGTTGCGCCAGTGATGATGACGAACAGAACCAGTTGTTAAATTATTTGAACCCCACCACTGAAATTCTAAAGGTATAACCCAGTGTTCCACTTCTGAACTCAGACATTCTAAATGACCTGCTTTTCTTCTAGAAGAGAAAGTTGTAAAATTGCTCCATTGCTATGTTGTGAGATTTCTTGCTTTTACAAGCAAAAAGACAACACATTTATTGTAAGCTGCCTACAGTCATGTAAGAGCAAGACAGGAAACTATAGAAATTGATAAATAAATAAAAGAATTTTTTGGCAGATTGTCAAAAATCATTAGCCATGTCCAACTTGATACAGCCATTTTTATATCAAATTCCAGTGGCCAAAATACATATGGAAAAAAGGGAAAAAAAGTAATGGGTTGATTGTATGTTTTTTTGAAACTTCACTTCACTGTGGGATCTCTGTGGAAACTAGATTTCTGTTATTTATTCCATACTTCAAAATATGGTTCTTTTCTTTGGATTTGTTATACTGATTTGCCAACACAGCCAGATGAGGGTTTTCTTTTTCATTTTCATTTTGAATGGGTACAAATATCTACTACACATTTAATTAAGACTCATCAATTATCATAATTGATCATCTCTAACTAGATCACCATAAACAACTTGTTCATCACTTGTTCCATGCAAACATCCATAGAATAATCCCCTTGTTGATTATTCTATTGACGTGCTAGACTCATTAAAATGATAAGTTGTAATTGATGAAAGTGACCGCACAGTCTTATAAATGAATAAGTAAATTAATAAATGGGCAGTTAAGTACTTTTTTGCTGGAAACTAAGGACTGAATATTTTATTACAGGCTGATGTAATTCACTGAAAGGGATCCAGGTAGTACAATATAATTTTAGAAAAATCTTTTGCAAGAATTCTGTATATATATATACTGAACAATCCAATTCTACTGAAAAGATATACTCTAATGAGAAAAAAAAATATGGGAGGAAGAAATGAAAAAAAAATAGAAAAAAGTTTTTCTTTCTTTCTTTCTTTCTTTCTTTCTTTCTTTCTTTCTTTCTTCTCTCTCTCTCTCTCTCTCTCTCTCTCTCTCTCTCTCTCTCTCTCTCTCTCTCTCTCTCTCTCTCTCTCTTTCTTTCTTTCTATAGCACTTATATAGTACCCCATAGTGTTTTACAGCATTCTCTGGCTGATTTACAATGTCAGCATATAGCCCCCCAAGAATCTGGGTCTTCATTTTACTGACTTCAGAAGAATGGAAGGTTGAGTCAATATTGAACCCTGTCAGGATTGAACTCCAGGGTGTGGGCAGAGTTTGCCTGCAATACTGCACTTAACCACTGCATCACCAGGGCTTCTTCATTTAGTGCATCACCAATATTAGAAATTAGAGTGGTTTATGTTATTTTTTGCTATGTTTTTTATTTTACCCTGTTCTTCCTCTCCTGTCTTGAGCTCCCTACCCAATTTCAGCAGCTAAGCAAGTGGAATAAAGGCCTGTTGCTAAAACAGCTAAGCAAGCAAGCAAACAAAAAAACATATTACATAGGCCAGGCATGTCAAACACGCGGCATGTGTGCCAGATGCAGTCTATGCTGGCCCTTCAAAGGCAAAGAAAATTCCGATACGTCACAATATGGCCTGCAATGCAATCAGGCTTTACACTCCTGACATAGACAATAAAATCCAAATATAAGGTGAACTTATTAGGACCAAGTGACTAAAACATTATGCAAATTAATGTGCAAATCTTTTGAAACAGTTTTTTAAAACCAAAGTAGCCATCCATTCTCAGTAACACAATTTCAAAAATTTCTAGTCCCAAACAATTGATATACTAGTGCTGGTGTTGTTAATGCAGAGCTTTCTATTTTACTCTGTACCTTCTTCTTCTTCCCCTCACATACATGCCTTATTTTTCCCCATTCATTCCCAGTGTTTAAAATCCCTTTTCTCTCTGTGTTATTCAAAGCTTTTTGAATCAGGGCTAACTTAACTCATTCTAAGTAATCCAGAGCATCAATTCCTTTCAATAACAGAGCATAGGATATAAGAAGCTGGAGCCAAGCAAAACTTAACACTCTTTTGATAAGAGGAGTGAGGATGGAGAAGGGGGAAGATGTGTAAGGAGGGCTTTAGTAGTAAGAACAAGAACAGGCCGGGCCAGGTGTAAGAACAAGAGGCAAGATATGAAAAACAGAATTAAGGCTTTAGAAATTTGGTGAGGGAGAGAAGCTGCAAGGAGGAAGAAATAAAAGACAGAAGAAGATAAGGAATCTGCTTATTTTATCTCATCCTTGGGAGATAAAAGGTATCAAATAGAGAAAGATCTATTCAGGTTAATTACAGTAACCTGAAAGGGGCACAGTATTGGATCAGGAATGACGAGTCTAGAGGAGAGATGATAAAAACAGTGTCAAGGTTCTGACTAACGAACCCAACCAAGTAAGTACTGACAAGATGATCCAATCTCTTTCTGCAAAACTTTATTGAGTACATCATTTCAGCATGATTGAAAGCAAAACCAGCTCTGGTTATTTCCCTCGCGAACCGCTAGAAT